CCCCTCTCCAGCAATGGTCAGATTAACAAGACTTTAGAGGAAAATCATATGTATGCCATAGCAACACTATTTGTTTCGGTTGTAATTAGTAACAGCATGCATAATATGTGATTAAAAGGTTGATTACAGTGAAATTGAGATGTACAGGTGAGGAAAAATGATGCTGGTTTCACTGGAGAAGGCTTTATGACTTTGTTTCAGATCTGTGTTCTATCGCTCATACAAAGAGCAAGAGTCTAAAAAAGGGTATGACCAAGAGGAAGTTTTTGAAAAGCCGACACGCGAAACTTGCCAAGGTAAGATAGAGGCGTGTGTGAAGACTGAATTTTTAAATTAAGTTTTTGTGGGCAAAGTTGTTGGTGTTCTTGAACTGATTCAGTCTTTGTTTTGGGACATATAAAGTATCAGAAATGCCTGTATTAATAGCAAAATACATCAATTGAGGTATTTGCATGAAATTATCTTCAGACGTTTTAGCAGTAGTCAGTCTGAAGTTGCAAGCAGACTTGTATTTCTAGGGAACATCAAAGTCAATATAGTGAAAAATTTGAGAATCTTATTTTTGTTGTTGTTGTTTGTTTGTTTTTCTTTTTTTCCCAAGGTATGAGACATGCAATCTATGACAAACTTGATGATGATGGTTTGATAGCACCTGGGGTACGTGTGTCTGGGGATGATGTCATCATTGGCAAAACAGTAACACTGCCAGAAAATGAAGACGAGCTGGAAAGCACCAACAGACGTTTCACAAAGAGAGACTGTAGCACTTTTCTGCGAACCAGTGAGACTGGTATTGTAGATCAGGTCATGGTAACCCTTAACCAGGAAGGATACAAGTTCTGCAAGATTAGAGTGAGCACTGACATGTGTGCTTTCTACTTTTAATCATTTTTGTTCTGTATTTAAGTTGCCAATCGAATGTTTTCCTATGGCTTACAGGTACGCTCTGTAAGAATCCCACAAATTGGAGATAAATTTGCCAGCAGACATGGTCAGAAAGGAACCTGTGGCATCCAGTACAGGCAAGAGGTAGCGATTTTTTTTTTTTTTAATTTCCTTCTTCACATTTATCTCTGATCTCCTTAGCATTGGAACTGCCTTAAGTGAGTTGTCCGTGGAGTATCCTCAGGTGTGACATACTGACTTCAATTTAGCTAAACTATGTTTAGAAGGGGACACAGCTGCTTCTTACATGGTACTTCAGTACTTTCAAAGATGTAATTTGAATCCATGCAACTGCTTTTCTTAAAACTCTGGGAAGTACTGACTGTGGTTTCCCTGATCTAGGATATGCCCTTCACCTGTGAAGGCATCACACCTGATATAATTATCAACCCCCATGCCATCCCTTCCCGCATGACCATTGGCCACTTGATTGAGTGTCTTCAGGGGAAGGTAAGAAGAATCTTTTATGCTGTGTGTCTGAGCAGTTTGAGTTAAACTTCTTTCTTTTTTTTTTTTTTTTTTTGGTAAAGATACTACTCCCCGATAGGCGTTACTTCCCTAAAAAATAAAGATTGTTCTCCAGTTACTTGATAGCAAAAACAGGTTTCTTGGAGAAGACCTACAGCCCTCTTAAGTTTTGTCCAGCAACTCAGACTATAGTGTGCTCTCTCATCTATTGCTTTTATTCCAAACTCCTGCGACCTAGAAAAAAGAGCAGCAAAACTGCTGATGCTGTGTATTTTTTAAATTCTCCCTATAAATTGTGTAGCTGATAAACGAAGCCAGATGGGGTACTGTCATGGGGCATGGAATCTCAAGTTGTGGCATTAAGAGGTAAAGTTGTTTGAAACAGCTTAAGGTCCTACCAGTCCTTGAGAAATCTGACAAGCTTTTGCAAATCTTTTCTCTGTAGGTGTCTGCAAACAAGGGAGAAATTGGTGATGCTACACCTTTTAATGATGCTGTCAATGTGCAGAAAATTTCCAATCTTTTGTCAGATTATGGCTATCATCTGAGAGGAAATGAGGTATAATCAAAATATCAATTCACTGCAATTTGTTTAATATACGTTTGATAGACAGTAAGGCTTATGATTCAGTGATTGCATTGATTACTGCAGGTCCTCTACAATGGCTTCACTGGTCGAAAAATCACATCACAGATCTTCATTGGTCCTACATATTACCAGCGGTTGAAGCACATGGTAGATGACAAAATCCATTCTCGTGCGAGAGGGCCAATCCAGATACTTAACAGACAGCCCATGGAAGGTAGATCTCGGTAAGGATGTTTGTTTATTTTCTATACGCTGTTTCTTTTCCTTTGAAGTTTTTAGCCCTAAAAATTACCTGCCTCAGCTTCACATCTAGAACTGAATTAGCTCACCCCAATTAGCCACCTGTTTTCATGTGTTTGGCTTATGATGTGTTGGGTGCAGGTGTCAAGGTTTTGGTAGCAGGAGGTGCTCTGGGGGTGGCCTTGCTGAGAAAGGATGTGGGGTTGTCCTGTGCTGGACACAGCCACTTACAGCTGGCTCCAACAGACCAAAGCTGAGCTTGTCAGTGACACTGGTGGTGCTTCTGTGGTAACGTATTTAAGAAAGGGTAAAAAAAAAAAAAGCTGTGCAGCAGCTGTGAGAGTGGTGAGAAAATGTGAAAGGAACAGTCCTGCAGACACCCAGGTCAGAGAAGGAGGAGGGGGAGGAGGTACTCCAGGCGCTGGAGCAGAGATCCTCCTGCAACCCGTAGAGAGACCACGGTGAAGCAGGCTCTTCGCCTCCAGCCCATGGAGGACCATGGTGGAGCAGATACCCATGCTGCAGCCTGTGGAACATTCGTGCTGGTGTGCTGGCTCCTGGCAGCAGCTGCGGCCTATGGAGGGCCCATGTTGCAGCAGTCTGTTCCTGAAGGATTGTGTCCTGTGGGAAGGGCCCATGTTGGAGCAGTTTGTGAAGGACTGTCCCATAGGAGGGACCCCACGCTGGAGCAGGGAAAAAGTGTGAGGAGGCAGGAGCAGCAGAGAGGAACTGTTATGCACTGACTGCAACCCCCATTCCCCCTGTGACCATGGGGAGGGGAGGAAGGAGTTGGGAATGAAGGAGTGAAGTTGAGCCTGGGAAGAAAGTAGGGGAGATGTTTTTAGTTTTGTCTTTGTTTCTCACCACAGAATCACAGAATGGTTTGGGTTGGAGGGAACCTTAAAGACCATCTAGTTCCAACCCCCTGCCATGGGCAGGGACACCTTTCATTAGATCAGGTTGCTCAAAGCCCATCCAACCTGGCCTACCATCCAACTCCATTTTTAATGGGCAATAAATTAAACTAATTTTCCCCATGCTGAGTCAGTTTTGCCTGTGATGGTTATTGGTAAGCAATCTCCCTGGTTTTATTTCAATCCACGAGCTGTTCCATCCTACTTTCTCCCCTGTCCTGTCGACATGAGGGAGAGAGCTGCTTGGTGGGCAGCTGGCAGCCAGCTGAGGTTAAACCCACCACAGATAAGTAGAGAATGATGTAATTGTTTACCGCATTTTGCCATACGATTGTGCTGTGGCTGTTCGCTGTCTGACATCTGCTTCAGAAGTGCTCAGCAGCAGTTACAAATTACTGTGTTCACATTCTCCCTAAGAGTTTTATTCTGAGGTGTTAAGAGGAAAATTAATCCACAGCTTTACTCCTGCCTTGTAATGCCGCTGTTGTTTCTGATCAGTTACTTGTTCCACCAACAAGAACTGGTGTATTTTGCTGATGTACTCAAAAGTTGAGGGTTTTTTCTTTTTCTCTTTTCCTCTTTTCAGTGATGGAGGCCTTCGTTTTGGAGAAATGGAACGAGATTGCCAGATTGCTCACGGAGCAGCCCAGTTCTTGAGAGAAAGATTGTTTGAAGCTTCGGACCCGTACCAAGTCCATGTCTGTAACCTCTGTGGAATCATGGCAATTGCAAACACAAGGACTCACACCTACGAATGCCGGGGATGCCGTAATAAAACTCAGGTACGTGTGGTTTTCATCAGCCAGTGTTTCTCTTTGTGGGTAAGAGGAAATGTCACTCGCGTGAACAGGAGTCTAGGGAAGTAAATATTTAAAGAAGGGGCAGAACAATTGCTATTTTAGTTTCATAACTGGTTTAAGTGTTTATAGCATCCTAGTTAATTTGGATGTTTCTGTATTAATTTTACAATGTTGGCTTGTCACTTGACAGGAAATGCTGTTTGAGTATTTTGCAGTGCAGTTTTCGGAGACTTCAGAAGTAAATGCTTGAGACCTTATTTTTAGAAGTAAAGCTCAGAATTACAGGAATTCAGAGCCATTGCCCTTGTGGCTGTCCCCATGAAGATATTTATGCGTGCAAGAGTGGGTCCCCATGGGAGGTCTTTTGTGTTGTGCTTTCTTTAATAAGAAAAAGGCTCTGTAGTCTATCTCAAGGGAGAGTCGCAGCAGAGATAAAAACAGTTGCCTTAAACAGGCTTGTTCTGGGGCTGGGGACTGGCTGCTGCAACTCTAACAATGGCACTGGGGTGACTGAAGAGATGTGTGCAGGAAATCTGAACGGCATTTACTGCACGCCAGGCATGCTCTGCTATGGGAGTGTTCCCTTGTCAAATGGCTCTTGGTTAAGATCAGATCCCTTGGCTGCAGGTTTTATTGTTAGAAAAGCGTTCTGGGTAGCTGCTCTGTAGCCTCCACAGACAGTCTCAGCTTCCCTCTTGCTTTGTGACTGAGCGATTGCTGTTAAATGCTTTCACGCATAACTTCAGATCCACTTTTGAGCTAGGAACTTGACAAGTTATTTGTGTAGAGGGTGGTGGATGTTGATGCTTTAGGAGTGCTTATCATAAGCCTTTTGAAATCTCTTTCCAGATATCTTTGGTTCGAATGCCCTATGCCTGCAAACTCCTCTTCCAAGAGCTGATGTCTATGAGTATCGCACCTCGTATGATGAGTGTTTAGCCTTTAAAAGGGCTTTTTTAAAAAGAAAAAATCATGAGACTGAAGTGCTCAGGTTTTGTTTCATTTTGTGTAGGTTGCATTTAAAATACAGTTTCTCATCTGCTATGTGCTGTTCAGAAGTACGTTTATTTCCTGTAAATAGAATTAAAATTTCTAATCAAACTTGTGAATCTATTTGTGTTTCTGTGAAAGAAGTGTGAGTGCAAGCAAATTGATAATCGAAGAACAAAGGAGTTAAGAGGGAAGGGTTAGTGAGCTAGAAAAAGCCAGAGGTTGCAGCTTTCCAAAATACTGATTTAAAACTGTGCATAAGTGAAAGTCCTCACATCGCATCACAGCTCTGCACCGTCATCTGTGGAAAAACAAAAACATGTTACGTTCTGCACTGTGCCAAGTGGTAATACTGCAGCTTGGGCAGTAGCACCGTGAGTTTTCTGATGTCTTTGCTGAGGGTAAGACCTGACACCTCATCCTGACCCCCTCCTTCCTTCCCTAGTGCAGGTCTACAGCAGCAGGGGGGTGGTAGTAGATGGCATTTTTCTTGGCTGAGATCACCTGGACATGCCACCCAGGCTCCCAAACCGTGTAGTGTGTAGCCATGGAGAAGCCTGTTACGTCTGACAGTTTGTTCCATTAACGTTATCAGTTCCCTTTAAGTCATGCTGGCCTGCCAGCTGGTTGCTGAGCTACAGCATGCCTCCTGCAGCTGAGAAGGAACAGCTGTGACCTGGGGTGTGTGTATAAGAAATAAACCATGAGGCAATACATGCAGTACTACAGCTGTGCAGCCGTTACTGCGAGAGGGGGAGTCAACATTTTCTATTCTGGGGTAGAAGTGTGCTGCTCATGGCACGACTCATTCACATCCATAAAAAGATGTTTGAAAAGGGATTAGAGACGCTAAAAACCGTTAGCAACGCTCCTATGCGTAAGTATACTGGGATTCATTTTATGCTCTTATTTCAATGCCAGGTGCTGTTAATACTCTCCTAAAGGAAGTTTTTCAGCTATTCAGGTATATAATAATACAGAAAGTCAAGACTGTATCATTTGGATAAAGCTACTGGGATTAAAACAAAGGATTATGTCCAGAAGTGGATCTGGGCAGCACAATATTCTCTAGCTGGCTGCTCTGTTCCCTCTGCCTCTAACATGGTTACAGTTCACTGTTCCAGCTCTCCACGTTTATTCTGGAGCACAGGTGGCCATGGTACTAAGCCATCCTCTTTGCAGCTGGAATGAGGGTGGTTGCTTTGCCATCAGCTTTGCAGGCAGCCTGGCAAAGAGGACCTGGGCTTGAAAACTGGCTGAGGGCTGGAGGGTGAAGGCTTCAGGTCTTGCCTAAAGGCCTGCTGTGGCATATCTGTCCCCTCCTGGATTTGATATGCCAGCATGCAGAGAGAAGGGCAAGGACTAGGATGGTTTCAGGATGGGGAAGAATAAAGAGCTGCAGGGACTTGGCAGGAGTTTAAGTTCTTCAAGTTCCCCCTCAGTCCTGGGGCCAGTTGTGCCAATACTGCTCTCAGGACAGCTGGACAGGTTTGGAAGTGTCCTGAGAACAGTGAAAGGAGGATACAAATTTAGGGCTGGAAAACCACTGAAAGTTGCTTTGTAAAATTTCCAAAAGGTGTTTTTAATTTGGTAACTTAACGTCCAGTGTTTGGGGGGTTACTTAACAATCCCTTGAGAACTCTAGCAGCTGAGATTTGCTGGGAATCTTAGAACAGTTTGGCCTGGAAAGCACCTTTAAAGGTTGTCTAGTCCAACGCCCCTGCAGTGAGCAGGGACATCTTTAGCTACATCAGGTTGCTCAGAGCCCCGTCCAACCTGGCTTTGAATGTTTCCAGGGATGGGGCTTCTGCCACCTCTCTGGGCAGCCTGTTCCAGTGTTTCATCACCCTCATCATAAACAATTTCTTCTTACATCTACTCTGAATCTATTATCTTTTAGTTTAAAACCATTACCTCTTGTTGTGTTGCAACAGGCCCTGCTAAAAAGATTGCCCCCATCTCTCCTGCAGGCCCCCTTTAAGTATTGGAAGGCCACAATAAGGTCTCCCCGGAGCCTTCTCTTCTCCAGGCTGAACAACCCCAACTCTCTCAGCCTGTCCTCACAGGGAAGGTGCTCCAGCCCCCTGATCATCTTTGTGTCCCTCCTCTGGACCCGCTTGAGCAGGTCCATGTCTTTCCTGTGCTGAGGACCCCAGAGCACTGCAGGTGGGGTCTCACCAGAGCAGAGTTAGAGGGGGAGAATCACCTCCCTCAACCTGCTGGCCACGCTTCTTTTGATGCGGCCCAGGACGTGACTGGCTTTCTGGGCTGCAAGCACACATTGCTGGGTCATGTCCAGCTTTTCATCCACCAGCACCCCCAAGCCCTTCTCCACAGGGGTGCTCTCAATCCCTTCATCCCACAGCCTGTATTGATAACAGGGGTTGCCCCGACCCAGGTGCAGGACCTGACACTTGGCCTTGTTGAACCTCATGAGGTTCACATGGGCCCACTTCTCGAGCTTGTTTTGCCAAGCCCAGTAAAAGCTGCACGTTAAACTGACACTTATAGTGTGAATTTTTTGTTTCTTTCAGAAAGCATTAAATCTAGGTGGTCCTTCTTTATCAAATAACTGAGTAAACTGTTAGGGGAAAGAGCTGCTAAATGTTCAACCACGCTAGGTACCTTTGGTCAGGGCTATTTCATGCAGAGTTTCCACAACATGGATTTTTGCAGAAGCTGTTGCTTCTCCTTTGGCATTTGATGCATGACATTCATATTCTCCAGCATCCTCTTTGCTCAGAGGAGATATCTAGAGGAAGAAACACATGCCCCAGTAAGTATTCCATGCACAGGCAGAGGTGAGTCTGTTTTAAGGTATCTTGTATAACTTGTTAATTGCTTGAGACGTTGTCAGATGAACAGAGTGCATGAAGTAGCAGTTAAACCTGAGGGAACTACACTTGACTGCATGGTTGTTTCTGTCTGCTCTAAAAACTCTGGTTCAGATTGTGGTTGCTCTCTTCAGTAAGGTTTGGGACAAGCACCCACTCCTGTGGATCAGCCTAGCTTTCTTCTCCTCTGCTAGGCCAGATTACACGTGCTGTAACGCTCACTCCTTTTATTGTTTACTTAGTTTGGAACTGTGTCAGACCACTGCATGCTTGGTGAGGGGAGGGAGGCAGGAAGAAAAAGCCTTCCTAGAATGTGCTGCATCCAGTCAGTCAGTTCAGCAAAATCATGGGCTCAAACCCTTCCCTCCCCTTATTTCCACCTCTGCTTTTGCAAGGGAACCAACACCCTAAGCTGTGCACCCCTGCTGCCAGCTTCTCTGCAGCTGGGAGCCATCATACTTGCAATTTCCTTACTGCGAGGCACAGCAGCTCCCTCTGATGTCTGACAACCGCTGATCAGCCTGCAGGTACTCCTGTAGCTCAGGAGGTTGGCTGAGTGAGGGCTGATGGCTTCTGCACTCTGCTATTCTCAGGCAGGTGACGTGATACACTGAGGAAAGGGCAGTTCTGCCAGATCTATAAGGGCTCCTCAGCTGTGGGTGGGTCTTAGGGATGCCTTGCCTCTGTACTGGTTCCTTCATAGACATGGTGAGGGTCTCCTTCTCACTAATGGTAGCAGGAAAGTAATGGCATACAGAAAGGAGATCTTTTATTTAAGTCTAGCCTTCTCTGATCATAGAATGCATGCTTCTGCTGCATGCTAGAGGTGAAAAACTACAACAGGTAAGACTGGAGCCAGCAGCCACCCTTACCCCTCATGCCTAATTCACACATGTTTTCCTCTAAGCGCCCTGTCTGTTGCCATGTGTCTTCTGCACTGTTATTTCTTCAGGAGCTGTTGCAAACTGCACTGTACTGTTTGTGCAGCTCTGTGCATACACAGAGTACTTACGAGCACCCAGCCCGTCACTTCGTGTTTCTCAGGGCCCCCTCGGGTCTGGATAGCCAAGTTTTCCCGGTCCCCAGGCAGGAGCTCCATCCTCTGGACACCGTACTGTCCCCGAATTATCTAAACAGAAGGGCAGAAAGCGGTAAGAATTTGGGGGCTTATTTGTGCTAGAACTGTTAGGCCCATACCTGCACAGAGACAAGATCAGCAGTAGTTTTCCATGAATATGTTTTGTGCAGTAGCAGTGTTTTTTCCAGTGCCAGAATTTCACCTGCCCCATGCCAACACCTCAGCATCTGCACTGGGGCTGCATTCCCCTTGAGAACGGAGAGAGCAGCACAGCTTTCTGGTGTGGGCGGCGCTTCATGATGGGGTGTGCAAACACGCCCTGCACTGACTTGGGTCTCAAGGGTGTGTTTAGCCCATCAGATGATGCTGGTGCTGAACAAGGATTTGGCTGCCTGCAGTGCTGATAGCCACACATCAATCCA